GTGCGTGTCAACCTGGCGCGCAGTTGAGCTGTCGAAATTGGCGCGCTTTCGAGTCGTAGGGAAGCACGTTGCAATTGCCTCTCCTCATTCTTCTTCCCCATCATCGGCATGCTGCGACGGTCTTTGCGTGTTGCGGCTCTGGTTGAGCCCTCTACACCCAGCGCCAATAGCGGGAAAGGGAGCAGCGGGAGTGGGTGGCGGAGAGGTCTGTTTTTTTCTTACGTGCACTGGCGCACCTTGAAGTATCTTGCGTGTAGTGTGTCTTCTTCGTTGATGCACTTTGTTTACACGCCAACTGCTCTTCCGCGGCAAGTCAAACGATGTAATCGCTTCGCTCAAGGGTACCAAGCCCTGTCCAATAGCATACGGACCACGTGTGCAATCGTTCAAGAAATTACGCACAATTTTTCAAGTAATCAGCAACCCGCAAATCCCAGTCCGCAATGCTTTTGAGGAGTATTTCTGGAGTTTTTAACGAAATTAAAGTTTGCTAGGTTTATTTTCATTATTTACATTTGGGTTCAGAGCGCAAGAGGTGTGGAGGGGAGGAAACGAGTAAGCTGCAAAGCAATTAGAGAGCTCGAAAATTCTCTAGATTTGGTTCCATTCTTTCGAGCGGCTTTACAGACTGTACACTTTTCGGCTTTTCTCTTCTTCCGCTGGCCTTGCCTCTCATACTCCAGGATCGGAGAAGGGAGGCGAGGAGGGAAAGGGACGAGGTACATTCAGCGAGACTTCGAGCCGCGACGTACAGACCGAGCCCCAGGAAATTCATCTGAGCAACTTGTCGGGCTGATGAAAAGCCCAGCAAGCAAATACCGGTCTCATCTCTTGTGCGCGGCCTCTGCTCAGCGGCCTCCTCGCGCAGAGCGAGGGCCCGACCGCACATGAGTGTGTGCCAGCTGGCGCTGGAGCGGACAGGAGGATGAAGTTTCTTTTCAAAGCAAGTGGGCCGAAACGGACCGCAGTAACGTCGTCAGGCCAGTGTAACGCCATACGGCCCCTTCTGGGCATATTTTTCGAAAATATAAAAGCGCTAAAAAGACAGTCGTTTTTAAGTTGCAAGCCGAGGCGGTGGTTTAGACTTCGGGGATCGTAGCGCAGGAGCGAGGAAGTGGCGGGGAAGGGAGGGTTGGGCGGGGGAGAGGAACGAGTCTAGGAGACGGGGTTAACATGGCAGGAATTTTGTATAAGTCTTTTTACGCTCGGCTTGAAGCTAGTTGCTGAGGGGAAGTTAACAATCTCGAACGCAACACCCAGAGTCCCGCCTAAACAAAAACCCCGGCACTACGCTTTTCGCAGCTCGGTCGCGAACCCGGAATGTCAAGGACGGGTGGGTGTTGCGCGGCGGAGCCAAGCCGAGTTTTAGTAATTGCCAACTGGAGCAGCTGGCGCGATGTTCAAAGTTCTCATTGCTATCCGCATAATTTGAAGAAGAGGGAAGCTGGTGCAGGACACTGGAGTCCAGACACACTACGATTCGGTGGGGCGGGATGAGGCTCATTGCGGGTGGCTTCTTCACTCGCTTTCACGTGGTTGCTGACTCTTCTAGATGCGTGAGTGCACTTTTCTCGGGCAGCCTTTTTCCAGTAAGGCGAGGTTTTGCTTTAGCTTCCTAGATTCCGTCTGATTTGACTGCTCATGAAATGTTTGATAAGCACACAAGAAAAAAAAAGAATCTTTAGCGAAGTGACAACTTTGGAAGTACAATGAAAGCATTGATTCCGGCTGCGTATGGACGTGCTTTGTGGGTCGAACAGTTCATTGAGGAGGACAGTCAAAATCAGGTTCATCGTATCATTTCCGTTTACTGATAAATCGCTAGTTTAGCAATTTTATGGCAACATATTAGTTTTCTGATGCAACTGAATATGCCAACTGAAAACTTGCACAGAATTTGCAGATGCTGATCACTTCCTCGCTTTTCGAACCTTAAACCATACTGGTTATGCCAGCAGTAACGGGTGTGATTCGAGCTTAGGTTGGGGTCAGTCACAAAGAACTTTTACAACTCAGAATAACTAGGCACTAAATTTTCTAACGAGTAATTTCCTGATGAATATCTCATCGTTATAATTAAACGAAACCAGTAATAGTGAAAGTACGATCATCCATTATGTATGTAAGTTGAATACGCAGTCCTTCCAGTCTTTGGGAGGCGCAGAATAAACCAGTCGGCCGGACAACTTCATATTTTAAGCCGTTCGTTGTCAGTATCGCTCTTTTCAACTGATCATTCAGCATAAATCGAATTCGGACGTTTTCCGAAAGTCTGGAAGGTCTAGTATTCCTGGCTAATTTTGAAATACTTCTCGATAGTTTACGCTTCTTCAATGTAAACGACGCGTGGTGAGACTTGGTGGTTTTGTTCCAGTCTGTCCCTTCTTTCAGTTGCATTCCGAGCTGTTTCGTACTGGAAGCAGTTTTACGCTATATTCCTAACAACTGTACAAGTTGAGGTTTTGCGCTTCAAACGATATTTCCCCCGTCAACAAAAACTGAGTGTGTGAGTTTCACTCGACGAACATGTGTGAGCCATAATTTTGTGAGTCAAATCAAATTTGCTCAGCTTGTGCTGAAGGATATTTAGTCCTTTATGCTTTGGTTCCATTGTCTGTGTTTGGAGGCCGCTGCGCATCATTTATCATTAACAGTTTTTCAGCATGGTTGTGTAGACAAGCAGAAACTTCTTTTCCCGAATAGTAACGAAGAGAATCACGGAATCAACAGTCGTTTCACATGTCATTCTTCTAACGGGGAGCGTAATTTTCCTAAGAAATTCGGTATTTTTTTATGTGCATCACTCCTGTCATTCTAGAGTAAAGTATTTCAATCTGGTCCAAAAACCGTCTTGAGTTTTTAAGAAGCCTGCAGCTAAATATGCGAAATAAGTTACAAAAAGTTGTATGCTTTGCAGTCTTATGCATAGTTTTTATTTGAATTTATGATCCATTTTAAATTATTCCTTTGCTGAAAAAGAAATGGTCACCGAAGCTGTATTTGAAAAATGATGCGCAGTGGACGATAAGAGGGCAGGGTGACAGCCGCAGTGAGATAGCATGGGTTAAGCACTACCGATGCTAGCGTGTGCGCCCACTTCGGTAACAACGAGAGTTCCACAACGGAAGATTTTGTTGAATTCTCAAAGCCACAGAAATAATTTGCCATAACTGTTTTCATATGCGTTGCAGTTTGTTACACCCTTCGCTGTAATAAGGATCAGAACTAATGGCGAATGGTTTCAAACATCCTGCAATCGGATTAAAAAAACATGAAAATTTTATAAAACAGTTGCAGCACTGGTGAAAGCGAGCTGTAATTCTGTGTCGAACAGAAATTACATGCTTCCATTCGACGACCAGATAAAAGGAATGGTCCTACATGTGGATCGTGAGGAAAAATGCCTGTTTGTAAGACCGCAGATTTTGGACGAAGCATTTACTGTGCTGGAGAAAAATCTTTTTGGTATCCAACGAATGACACTGCAGCGCCCAGGACCAGGACGAATCACCATTGGTAAGCAGCTTGCTTTTTACCAGCATCAGTTTTCACAAGTGACGCTGAACTTTCTCGTATTAGGAAGGCGTCAAAGTTTTAATTAAGCTGATTCGCTGTTGTATTGAAATGCAAAAAAAAAAAAAAAAATATTCTTTGAATGTCAAAATTCGTAATGCGTCTTGGAAAAGCACTGGCGGAAGTGAAAGGGCGAACCATTCTCATTGGATGAAACTAATATGGAGTAGATTTTAGACATTTTTGCACAAAACTTATAAGCTTTAACCGCAAGTACACATTCATGCTGAATGAAGTATTTGCTCCCAACTAGACAACTACTACAACTCGGCTCGGCTCGGTTCGGCTGGTGATCGTTGGTGCTTGGGAAGCCCTCTGTCATCTCTGGCAACAATGTTTCGTGGCGTCGCTCACCGGGATCGTTTGGCAGCCTGCCAGGAAAGCAGGGCAACGTTACCCAGTCCGCAGCGGCTGTATGGCCTGGCTGATGGGAAGGCGGGGTAGTAGAGGGGCGGCCGTAGTTGTAGGGGTGCGTGAAGGAGTGAGCGGCGGTTAGTGGATGTACAATGTCTTCTCCTCCCCTCTCTCTCTTCCTAAGCATCAAATTTTCCCATCTGCCCCCACCCCCCCACCCACCCCCATCCCCCCCTAGTAGTGCGGACTGAGAGTAGTGGGCGACCAAACTCGCTCC